TTTTAAATTAGTTACACCCCAAATCACTATAGAAATATTAAAAAAAAAAAAAAAAGAAATTCCAGTAGCAGCCAAAAAAATCGCACTATCCACAATCGAACAAAAATACAGAAAACACATTAAGATATACCCAGATAGAGTAGGACTAGGTATATACTTTCCAGGCATCACACTATCCATCAGACGTACAGACAAATGTTCAGTCTATACCAGTCAATTAATAGCAATAGGGTTAGCCCTAAGACTGGTAGACGATTTCAAACCTCCAGGCGGTGCGGTAATATTCACAGACAGTTTCTCATTATTACACTCGATAGAGACAGGAAATAGCCCTAGGCCCACAGAAATACACTCAATCATAAACACACTAGACATTCTACACAAACAAAACATACCAATAAACTTAGAATACATACCTACACATGTAGGCATACCTGGGAATGATATGGCAGATAAAATAGCAAAGAAATCTTTAGATAAAAACTTCATTCTTTGTAAAGCAGATCATTCAAAAGATAAATTTTATTCAATGATCAATAAATCAATAGATCTATCGTGGACAAACTTTTGGACGAATATCAGCAGTAATAATAAAATCAGGAGAGTAGAAACAAAACCTACAAAAAACCTTAACTTTTCGGATAAACACAAAAAGATGATAGAATTATAACAAGGCTCAGATTCATGCTAAATTAAATGCAAACGGAAAGACGTCTCACCAAAATGTTGTCACTGCAACAATTTAGGTACGTTATACCATATCTCTCTCTGGTGAAACAAACATACAACAGCACGTCAAACATTTCTACAAGAGTTGGGGAAATTAAACGTATCCCCACACAACATTCATACAATACTACAAACCTAGCCCAAAAGAACATAAAATCCACAAATTAATACGAAAATACCTAACACTAACTAACTACATAGATCACATTTAAAAGGAGATGAGATGATCTTTTAATATCCATACAGAATAATCCCCCGGACAACCTTTTCATAGCCTCATGAGTCTTATACCTATACCCTGTTTCAAACTTTCTTTATGCATATAAGTAAAAAAAAAAACCCTTATATATAACAATGAGTTGTTTTTTTTTGTTGTTGTTGTTGTTTTTTGTTTTTGTTTTTTTTTTGTTTTTGTTTTTTGTTTTTTTTTTTTTTTTTTTTTTTTTGTTTTTTTTTTTTTTTTTTTTTTTTTTTTTTTGTTATTCTTGTCATGTATTTATCTGTGTCATGTATAAACATTTACATGTAGTGTAGAAAAAGAAGACCTATATATGTTAGGTGGTATATGCATAGTATGTATAAATTAATAAAGTTTATAGATATATAACTATATATGTTTGTAAATCACACCTACATATGAGTTATTTTTAATATTTCAAGTGACTATCAGTAGGTAATTTGCCAGTAATTATAATAATATAATATTCAACATGAATTGATACATGATATTGAGCTTAAGATTTTTGGCAGATCATGCATACCGCTCTGTACTTGTTACTTTGATATATTAAATGTAATATTTGTCTCTGTCTAAAACCTAGCAGGGTGCCTGGACCTGTTGGGTGTTTATGTATACAGGTATGTTTGTTTTGTGATGTCAATAAAAAAAGATCACATTTAAAAAACAAGCATCACAAGGGAGATAACTCTTACAAACAAATAGACATCATATACCAACTACACAACTACAATGCCCAACGCCCAGTATAGGTTATACATGAACGAGAACCTCAGGATACAACAGTCATGGACTGATGATCAGTCGGATTCGGGTTTTGGACGCTGGCTGATAGCTTCTGGAACCCGGATAGGCAGGGCAACGGGGATAAATTGCTCTCGATATGACTTTATACAAAGCAATTTATAGAACGCTGGACGAAGGGCAATATGACTAACCATAACCCAATAAACACACATACAAGCCAAAAACAAAATACACTACTCTATCCCCCATCCGCGCATTCACAGGACGAATAAGACAACAAACATAGCAGTAACTAATGACACTGACATTGACATAGAACCAACAAATAATACCAACCACAATCGAATATGTGGAATGAACTACGACAGGAAATTATTTTATATCTGCCCCGTAATTCCCTTACCCCTAAAAACTAAATACATGTATAAGATAGTGTAGTTTCAAGTATAATTAGGACATCGTTTAAGGTATGGGGGTCCTAAAAGGGGCCGTTAAGCAGACATTAGTAATGTCAGGAGACTAAACCTCTCAGCTGTTAGTAATACTTTATTAGTCCATCTTTTATCCCTCTAACATCTCTTTCTACATTAAATCTACAAAACAAACGTTACGTACATGTCACACCAGCTAAATACATGACATAAACTAATCCCCTCCACCCACCCCACCCAGAGTAGAGAATCCCGCTACCCTAACTGCCGAGGATCCCGAATATGCCCAAATAAAACATAACAACATTCGGCCTAATGTCATTTTTATTCTATTAGGAAAGGACTTGTAAATTTCCCACAACTAAAATTAATAATCATAGTAAGACTACCTGGATATTCGGCAGGAATTCCCGCCTAGATACCATTCAGATGACCATCATAAATGTATCCCACACCTGATATATAAGATAATTGTCCCCTAGATACTATTCTTATGGCTATCATCAATGTATCCACTTTATTATATATCAGACAACTGTTGAATAGACAATATTTACCTAGCTACCGTTATAATTGTTATTACTGGTTTGTTTAGATAATGTTGGATGGAGTTTTACTTTTTTTCATAGTTTAAAGAATCAAACAGTATTACCTTATGAGTGAATTAATTACTTACAAAAGCTGACTGTGAATTCATAATTAGTTCAAGTGGGAATTGACAAAGTTTATATAGCAAGATATATCTTAAACTGTCGAGTTTTTAAAGAATTTGAACAAAGTTACATTTTATAGTGTAAATATTCTAAAGGTTATTAAAAGATTTATACTGACAAGAACTCTCTCTGGCCATTTTCTTTTGTTGGGATGACTTTGACAAAACTGGACAATATCTTGGTATATTCTGTCTGCCTCTCTGCCTGTCTTCATATTGTTAAAACAACATCATGTCCCCTTACCTATTGTCAAGGATATGATGGCGAAGCAGGTGACACAACCTTACATGTAAATTATATAAGCTATTTATTACATTTAATCACAATAATGGTTTTGTATGGAACATATCAAATTCATATAAAAATTGATGAGAATTAAAGAAGAAGAAATTTACAAAAAATGTCATATTAATAATTGGATTGGTTATCAAATATAGCATTGGAATTTACAGGTAATTATATATGTATAAGTGTACATATGTATATATATGTAAAACATTGGGAAGTTTATACATGTATTTATCTGTAAAGTTGGTAACTCTGTGATATAAATAACATAAATTAAATTGATATGTACATGGATATATAGTCATTGACAGTAAAGCAATATCGTAAAATCATATAGTTCTTCCTCTGTAATCACAAATATTTAAACTGGCCTCGGTGGTGATTTGAAGTCCTCCACTTTTGAGTCAATTACACATTAGTATATAGTATATTCGATAACTTTAGTAATACATTCATTATATACATATTCCACGGATCCTGGGATCATGTCCATGGGCCCTGTGAACGTTTTCGGGAGTATATATACATTATAGATTCACATGTCATGTAACCACTCCCTATGCACTCGACGGCTTATGCCCACGGCTCCATCTTTTCATTCCCGTTTTTTTAAATTGTTAGGTATTTTGCACACGGCCTCTAACTTTGCACACGAAGTATACATTGCACACGTATCGTTTGCACACGACCTTAATATCCTATGTCGTTTCAATAGAAAATCACGATTTAGATATCAATATTCATAACAAACTTCGCCACCATTTCACGTCAGTTTTTCGGAAGGGAGTGTGAAGTAATCTACAAATGACAAATATGCATAAAACAATGGGGCTCAGTATGAATAGAAACAAATGTAATTAAATGCCTTCCGTCAAGGAAACACCCATGTAAATTTGTCTCCATTTCTGGCCCGGATAGTCATCTAGGTGTGATCCCATTCTCCTGCTATGTAATATGCTGCTTGATCAGGTGTAATTAAATACTAAACAGTCACCTTAACACCTACATAGTCTATGATCCATTTCCTGACTGGATTCCTTTAAAAGATATTGAGGGGGTACAAATACTACAAGGAAGGGGGGGGTACTTTTATGATGGCCAGATAAAGTATCCGTATACTTTTATGATGTGAAATACAAATATGATATGACAACTGTTTTACCCATTATATAATAATGTATTAATTACTTTGATCTGTGGTTACTGTTTGTAACACTCTCTGTGTTTACTGCTTAGTAGTTCAAAAGGTATTTATTGTCTATCAATTCACAAACAGGCACGCTCTAACTGCTAACGAAATTAGGTCAATATGTCCGACTACTCCAGTAGAATCCTACTAGATAATGTGAAAAGGTCATACGAGGATCCGTATTTTGATCTAAAAGAGCGAGTTAATTTCGGGGAGTTCGATTTTTCAGATGCCTATATATGTTACTATTGTATGTGGAATAACCAAGAAAATTAACATAACAAGTGATCCCCAGCTTTTGTATAGCAGAGATCCCCCCTTGTCTGAACAGATCCAAAATAATATATTGTATATGTCTACCCTTTGACACACATACGTACGGATAGTTGAATTATGTCCATTCCCTGTGAACGTTTCCGGGAGTTTATATATGCACACAGATATGCGGTTATAGATTCACATGTTGTGTAAACACGTCCTATACACGCGACTTATTTTGCACACGACCCCGTCTTTTCATTCACGGTTTATTGGGATGTGAGTTGTTTTGCACACGGCCTCTAAATTTGCACACGATGTAAACATTGCCTACGTTTCGTCTGCACACGAATATCCCATGTTGTATAAATAGAGAATCACGATTCAAATATTTATATTTCAAAACAAACTTCATCACCAATTCACGTCAGTTTTCGGAGGGGACTTTTATCTCGTGTTTACAAGATGTCTGAAGGTAAGTTACGTCTTAAAAAATAAAATACGCCACCTGCCTGACTTTGTCACACGATCTGGGTGTGTAGAGATTGTAAATATATTTTATTGCACCATTAATTACTAAATCTATTCAATTTGAAGTAAACTTAAAACAAAACCTGACCAGTAGTTTAATTTTCGCCATTATAGCTTTGACCGTCAATCAGAAATTTACGCATGTACGTGGGATCCCAGGTCTGTTAGGTCATTGTTATGCGAGATAAATGGAAGTATTTTGTTAAGATCAAAAAGATAAAAAAAATCTGAAATCTCGGATACGATGATACCGGATATTCCAAATTATACTGATGTGTTCTGTCGAGGACCTGTCTGATTGATAAACATAAAAAATTGATATTAAATAACACAGCGGACGTTAATAACCGGGTACTAGCTATCTGATGCTAGAGTAATAAAAGTTATAAGGATGTGTCAAAATTGCCTGCCGTCAGTGTCCGTCTAGTTTAGTTGTCCGGTGACCGGCACATAATTAAAATTGTCAACAATGAAGGGTTATAGGCTTCAAAGGTTGTGTATATTAAAACGTCACACAAAAAAATGATTAGAGAAACGGCATTAAAAAACCCGTGTGGAAGATACAGATGATATGTAACTACTTAATGAAAATTTAGCACGCGAATAAAAAGTTCCATTGAGATGGAGAGATTAAGAAAGATTTGAAACACCAATGAAGATTTTTTAGCCCGTTTCACTGATTTTCACAATGGTGATAACGTGCTGGTTCCTGAAAAGATTCCAGATTACATCATGAAAAAGGTGTTGTCATGACATTCACGATGGAAAATCGATATGTGGAGACCGCAGTCCTTCAGTTGGTGTCAGTTTCAAAGCGATATCGTTGTGAAAACTTAATGTATTGTTTCGTTTTAAATTAATAAAGATGGATACTAAAGTGTTATTCTGAAAGAAATAATCAGACGTACTCTTAATTACACTTATTTACTATGTTCGTCCATGTTTATTTACTGTTAGGTGCCGCCATCTGTCAAATTGATGAATGCAGGATGTTGACTTGTTGCGATAATGGACCATGCAGTTGTGATGGTACATGCCAGTGCCCGAAATGTGGAGTTCAATGCTCCTGCATCGGTAAGTTTAATTCATTGTTGCATTTAGATGTGTTTTTTTATGTTTCTGTTTCATGAATGACTCATTCACTCTCTGCTACCCCACTTCTAAACTTCGTGGTAAGTATTTATCTTTCCACGTTATTACAGTTACTTTTCGTCTCAAAACATAATACATGATGCTTAATAACATAATATTATTGAATGCATATGGGATGAATAAGGAAAGGTTACTCCGCTGTCAGTATGTGACCAGGTTGTCGGAGTATTGTTATTAGATATATCTCAGCGTGATGACACTTAAAATATCCTTCATTTTCATTGGACATGACCCAATTATCATTAGACACAGCTTTGCATGAAACCTAAATTTTGAATTTGACATTTGAAAATGCTTGACATTGATTCATTTCCTTACAAGATCAGTGATAATTTAACCCCAACCCCACTCCATTCTACCCCACCCATTTTGAACATTTTCCCTTTTTTTCCCTAACCATACATTTGTCATTATGTCTTTCCATATCTTATATCTTTTGCAATGCATTATTGTAGGTTCATGCAAATGTGGAGTAGGATGCAACGGACCATCATCGTGTAGATGTGATGTTGGCCCATGCTCATGTAGACCGGCCAAATCTAACAAATAGCCGGAGAGCCGTCATCAATGGACGTTTTTGTGGTTATCTTACTCCAGCGTTCGGGACCGAGTTCATTTCTTCATGTTACTGACATTTGACATTACATTGATCAGAACATAATACATATATCCACCTTTAAACCTCCAAAGCAAGAACTTGATGTCGCGGACACACTCATCGAAATATGGTGTCTTTATTTGATTCTCCAAAACCAAGAGCTGGTTTTCCCGGACTCAAATATCAGATTAAGTCAATTTTTGAATGTCCTAAGCAAGAGTTATTTCTCTCGGATAACTGAAATTATGTTAATAAGAAAACACTAATTCTTAACATAATTGGTCATTTTGACGTTTTGTATAGTTGTTGTAAATATGTTATAATCATAGTTGTTCTAAGTATGTAATAAACAATTTGTTATTTATGGGTTTTTTGTGTTAATAAATCAGTCATCAGTTGGTCAGCTGGAGGAAGGATAGTGATCCTTGATCAGCGAACATATCATTAAAGGTTTTTTAAGGTTAACAATTGGTCCACAAGAACTATTGTCTTTCATCCATTTACCAAACATTAGGAAATTAAGTGTTAAACTAACTTTACGGATTTTCTCTGGATTGGTCCTTGTAAATATAAATGAGGACAATATCATCAGTTTTAAGTAACGTCGAATACAAATTCGCCTTCGAAAGGAAAAAGAAATGTCTGAATGCGCCCCTTAAGAGACTTTGTTAAAAAGTCGTTTATTCTTTCTGAAAATGAATATGAGAAATATTAAGTGTTTCTAAAACACTCATTTTCAAAGAAATTCGCCTTCTTTAGAAAACATGGTTTCGAAATAAGGATGTTTTTGTTTTTTAAATTTTTAAAAGTTGTTAAACAAACGCTCTTGTAAGAATTAACCACTGGCGACAAACTAGCGGAGAATGGGAGCAAAACTGCGATATTTGACGATAAAATGAGGAAGAAACCAACACTTTTAGAATAACAATAAACTTTTAAGATGTATCGTAGAGCGGTAATTATTTCGGTTTCTTTACGCTGAAATTAGCCGACCACACCCACCTAGTGGTGAAACGACTTGCGTTGTATGGGGTCTGGTGATTGTTATGAAAATTGAACGGACGTCACCTTCAGCATCGTTCTAAAGACAAGGACACGTAATATTTGCATTACACAATTTATCAGTAAGTTGTATATGTTGATGTAAAAACGTCGGTATGCAATCTATCTTGTTAACGTCAGCAGCCTTATAAACTAATCACGCTTGCCTCTCGCAGTAGCATTTTGCTGATGATACCAGCGTTTGCGCACAAAATGTTATTTTCGAGGCGAACCAAATTTCCAAAATTATTTTTAGGGGAATCCGAAATCAAATTTGTGAGAGACTTAGTATTTAGGAATGATTTTTTACCGCAAACTAACATGGATTCATCACACTAAATCAAAAACAGATGTGCTAAAACACTAAACACTCTCTTTTATATCTCTGGGGAAAATTGTGGAACCAACAAATGAAACCTACTTAAAACTTTAAAGAGTATTGATCAGATCAATAATTGATTATGGCTCCCAGGTTTACAACGCAGCTTCAGACAACGACCTCAAAACACTTGACACCATACAACATAGTACTTAGGATAGCCCTACACCAACAGCCAGCCTCCTAGCAGAGGCTGGCGAACAACCGTTACAACTCAGACGCAACTCACTCATACTCAAATACTGAGCTAATACACAACGATTAGGAAAACACTTCCCACCAAATACACTAATTCAACAAGTTAAACGCACAACATTTAGAAAAAAACATGGCAAACCCCCTAACAGCCATATAATACACACTATAGCTCTAATAATCTAATCTAGTAATATTCACAGACAGTCTCTCATTATTACACTCGATAGAGACAGGAAATAGCCCTAGGCCCACAGAAATACACTCAATCATAAACACACTAGACATTTCACACGAACAAAAAATACCGATAAACTTAGAATACATACCTGCACATGTAGGCATACCTGGGAATTATATGGCAGATAAATTAGCAAAGAAATCTTTAGATAAAAACTTTGTAAAGCAGATCATTCAAAAGATGAAAAGTTTATTCTATGAGAGTAGAAACAAAACCTACAAAAATCCTCAAACTTTTCGGATAAACACAAAAAGATGATAGAATTATAACAAGGCTCAGATTCATGCTAAATTAAATGCAAACGGAAAGACGTCTCACCAAAATGTTGTCACTGCAACAATTTAGGTACAATATACCATATCTCTCTCTGGTGAAACAAACATACAACAGCACGTCAAACATTTCTACAAGAGTTGGGGAAATTAAACGTATCCCCACACAACATTCATACAATACTACAAACCTAGCCCAAAAGAACATAAAATCCACAAATTAATACGAAAATACCTAACACTAACTAACTACATAGATCACATTTAAAGACAAGCATCACAAGGGAGATAACTCTAACAAACAAATAGACATCATATACCCACTACACAACTACAATCCCCAACGCCCAGTATAGGTTACACATTAACGGGAACCTCAGTATACAACTTTCATGGACTGATGATCAGTCGGATTCGGGTTTTGTACACTGGCTGGTAACTTCTGGAACCCGGATAGGTAGGGCAACGGGGATAAATTGCTCTCGATATGACTTTATACAAAGCAATTTATTCAACGCCGGACGAAGGGCAATATGACTAACCATAACCCAATAAACACACATACAAGCCAAAAACAAAACACACTACTCTATCCCCCATCCGCGCATTCACAGGACGAATAAGACAACAAACATGACAGTAACTAATGACACTGACATTGACGTAGAACCAACAAATAACACCAACCACAATCTAATGTATATGTCACACCATCAACTCGAATTCGTTGTGTGTTGAACGTTTTTTTTTATTAATACCCCTGATTTCGGATCTCAAGCACATCACTACACCGACCGTCGGGTCGTGTCAGTCACTTAACTGTACTATACGTGGCGCCTGGACTCCCGAGGACGTCCAGAGCGACGTGGCTAATATGTGATTCTGCCTCTGGATACCAAGCATCCCTCAAAAGACATCTGATCTCATACCGCCATACATTATAGCTAACATCACCCTTTAATTCCTGACCACTATGGCTAGAAATTTTGGGTATCCTCACCATACCACTGGTGCTTGTGTCCAACACATGCCCAGTCTGATTATTACCTCTAAAATTCCCCAGGTGACCAGAGTCATTAGCCAAGTTTGAGCAAACTTCATCTTTCACCCTCATCTTATCAGGCTTGAACCTCTCACTTCTAGTCTGATTTAGAAATCCGGCTTCACATCCCCTCCCCCTACCAAATAGGAACCTGGGTCTCGCCCCTGCAGTAGTACTAGCAAAGACCGGCTCCATAGGCAACCTCTGACTAGCTAGAGCTGTATATTCCGCCTCTGTAATAACCCTAAACTTGTGCTCTCTTAAAATATTTATCATTCTATTTACCTCCAACTGG